CGGGAAAATAAGGCGGGAACGGATTGGCGGGAAAATAAGGCGGGAAGGGGTTGGCGGGAAACGGGTGGCGGGAAGGGGTGGGCGGGAAACGGGTGGCAACAAAATACAATTCAGCATGAGCCATGCAACTTCGGCCTAGGGATGACCAAAAAGTGACTTTTCGGCCTAGACTTGACCAAAAAGTCTATTTCGGTCTAAGTGTGGCCGAAAAGTACTACTTTGGCCTAGCTCTGGCCAAAAAGTACTACTTCGGCCTAGCTCTGGCCGAAAAGTACTGCTTCGGCCTAGCTGTGGCCGAAAAGTAACTATTTCGGCCTAGCTGTGGCCGAAAAGTACTACTTCGGCCAAAGAATGGCCGACGGGCTACTAGTTTTGGTTTTTTTACATTACGTCCTATAGTTTCCGAAATTGCTACAAAAAACATGATAGTTTTGAAAAAAAATCCTCCATACTACTCTTGATAACACATATTCTACATACTCCCACAAGTCTTAAAGAAATGTTCAAGCCACCGCTTCATAGTATGTTCATAAATGCACAATCAATATTTAGTTTCAAAGAGAAGTATGTATGAATGTTTCTTTTTCAGAACAAAAAAAATCATATACTTCCGATTAAAAGAATACACAAACTCCTTACTAAAAACTATAAATATACTCCATACTACAACAAAGAGTATGGACACTTTCTCCATACTAAAAAGAACACTATATACTTACATACTAAACATTACTTTTTGACGAGCATGGAGTTGTATGCCAAAATATTTTCTTGATATGTTTATACTCCTTACTCCAGTTTAATGCTAATACTCCATACTTCATACTCCAATTTTATTTTAACACTCCATACTTCATACTACAATAATTATATGTTAATACTCCAACTATACAGGATAATGCTCCATGCGGTTAAAAAAAGCAATATATTTGTATTATTTTTTATAAAATCTAATGCTCACACTATATACTCTATACTGGAGTACCTATTTCAAATGAAAATGACGTACATACTTAGACTATTTTTCTTTTTGCCTACACATAATAAAAAAAAACAGCGTTACATTTCATGTGCCTATCTGAAGGATAATTACTTACTTGTACGTAGCCAGGAATTAAGGAGGGAGTTGAACCAACCGATCACTTGCCGGATTATTTTATTTGAAAAATAGACAGGTTGTCTATCGGATTCTGCAGCACCCGTTAGTTAACCCAGATCTATATAACTGGCTGATTACTAATACTACGGTGAGGGACACGTGGAGGCTAAACAACTAGGTGGTAACTACCACTACTTGTAGATAAAATTTGTCCTATATATATATATATATATATGGAAAATCCATCCTACCACCCGGTGGTAGTTACCCCACATATATATATATATATATATATAGTTGAGAAAAGCTTACCTTTCTTTCATTTTTCGAAGGCGGCGACCCCCTCTCTTCTTTTTAGGCTCGGAGTATGGTACAGAAGTGGTTTTGGAAGCTTTGCAGGAGGTGGTTCCTGCCACTTCTCGATCTTCTTGCGGATTTCTTCTAACAAGTTGCGACCAGCTTTTCCAGTTGGATCACCTCTAATCGAATTGATTCTTGCTGCTAGAGTCGACTTTGCAGCTATAAGCCTGCAAGCACGGGTCCTCGGGGCTGGAGGGGTGCTCTGAAATACTTTGGTTTGTTCAAGATAGCCAACACGAAACTGAGAGATGTGGCAGTAGAAAATCCAGTAAGGTTTTCTTCTTTCCTCCAAGTAACTGAACATTGCAAGCAGGCATTTTTGCCAGTGCTCCCAAACCACCAGCAATCCCCATCAGTTTAGCAGCAACAGCACTGCCAACAATGCCAGAAAGGTTTGGTGCGATGTAACCCATTCTACCCTCAACAAAATCAAGCACCTTCTTCTTTGCAGCATCAAGATTAAGGGCTCTGTAACATGCTTCAATGGTTTTTACCAAATTCTCCTCAGAAAGAGGCTTCCCACTAGTTGTCAACGCTGTTACAGAGACAACCATTATAACTGCAGAAGGTAAAAGCCCTTCCAGATCTACTAGTGTTGAATCCATCTCATTGGCGATCTTCTTAACAACATGGGCATAATCAATCGGATGATGAACAAGGGATTCCAGTTCAGGAAACTTCAGCCGATACTTATCACGTATGAAATTATGGACTATAATGAGTTCATTCTCAATATCTACTGATAAAGCATTGCAATCTACAATGAGCTGGTACTCTGGATCCTCCTCCAGGATGAACCCTTGATTAGACAAATCTGTGCCTTTCTCAAGCGCTCCTTCGACTTTCTGCACGCAGCAAATGGACCTGTATATTAATGTATTGTCATGCATGCGGTGAGTCAAAGATTTTTTTTAGACTAAAGATGAACAACGCCGCATGCCCTATGGACTCAAATCGCAGCCCTATGAACTCAAATTGAATGGAAGCATATTTTCCACATAAATCATTTGTAACATTGAGCGAGAACTGAGCGATACAGCACGAGTGTGCATGCTGTGTCACTGCAGAACCTGCATTTAAGGCCTAGCCTTTGCAGGTGACTCAGGTTGTCTTATAATATTAAAAAGCTCTCCAGGGACTAATCCCTGGTTGGTCTATTTCTTTCTTTTTGCACACTAAACATACTAAAATATCTCTCCATTTGCACCCTAAGAACATTTAAAGTTCTATTTGGGAATCAGACATGAAAAGAACAATCAACTGAGTGTTTCTCCAAAATCCATACAATATGTGCCATTTAAGATTTCTTTCAAACTAGCAAACCCTGTTTTGGTGAAAACATTGTGCAGCATCTTATAACTGACTGATTACCCTAACCGCACAAATAAGGTTTTATTTTTTACCAGATATAAACATAGATCTATGCAAGAGAGAAAGGTATAAGGTTACAAGATTTACGAGTTTGATCACATACTTGCATTATGTCAATATAACGTTGTGTCTTATGTAGTTTTGAGACACTGTCAAGATCGTCATAATTAAGAGACTCGAGGTCAGGCATATCATCGTCACCATCCTCATCCACACCCACTGCCTCAGCGTTGTCTTCTTCCTGAAATTTGACAACTGATTAAGGAATTGCCAAGAAATATATCCTTCTAAAACATGGTTACGCAGTAGATACAGTAATCAACTCACGGGATAGGCTCCACCAAGTCGCTATACCTGGCCATCGCCCCTTCCTCTGCCCCCCTCCCCCTTTCGATGGTGTGGTCCATCCGCCTGCCCCTGAAAAGCCGCATCTTCATGTGGCAATGGATCCACGGCCGGGTCCCGTCCGGGGTGGAGGTGCGCAAGCGAAATGGCCCGGGTTCGGGCGTCTGCCCACTCTGTGGGGTTCCCGAAGACTCGAACCACATTTTCTTCTCCTGTGTTTCCGCTCAGTTCCTCTGGAGCTGTTTTCGCGAAGTGGTCGGTGGAGATTGGTGTCACACCAACTTCCCGGACTTATTTGCCGAACTCCAGTTGTCCCCCGCGACTTCTCGCCACATTAGGTGGCTTGAGATTGGGGTCCTCGCCTAGACCCTCTGGACTGTCCGCAATAAGCTAGTGATTCAGCGCACTCCTCTTCGTCGGGCTACTGACGCTCTTTTCAAACTCTCGGGTTTCTTGCAGCTTTGGCGGCCGCTTAGCCGCCCCCTGGATTGCGACGCCATCTCAGCCTTCATCGCCGACCTCCGATCGATGGCCGTCCGCCTGTCGCCGCCGCCCCCGCCGCCTCCGCCGGAGCCAGACTAGGCGATTTCTTCGTCCGGCGTGTTCTGTCCTTTTTCTTTTCTGGGCTTGTTGAGCTGTGCCCTCAGCAGAACCTATGTACTTTATTGTGAGACTTGGGTGTGTGTGTGTGGACTTGATTATGTATCTGTGCTCTCTGGCGGTTTGCTTTATTTGTAAAGCGGGGCGAAAGCCTTTTTCGGTAAAGTTCGTCAAGATCGGCCAAGAAGGAATCAGCGAGGTTTGCCTATGAAATGGCACCATTTAGACACACCATGAGATCACTTGCCAAAAATAAATTGCAAATTCAAGATTGCTTAGCTGCTTAACAGGAGGTGAAATGAACTCACCATTATCTCGTCCCAAGTCTTCACCTCGGCAGGCTACACCTATAAGAGAAGTTATTGAAGAGGACGATCAGCTCAAAATCACAACAAATATATAGTGCCCTGATAGGCACTCAATGTTCAAAAAGCGGAAAGCATAAGTGAAGCAGAAGGCCACAGCTTAGAGCAATGGGTGCTTAACCTTTTTTTAAAAATTGGCTATATACACAGGAAAATAGAAAACATGGCACATGGGTAATTGACATAGCATCTAAAATACAGTTCACACCATAGCAAATACACATCAGGTTCACACAGCAAGCAAAATAACAACTAAAATGCAGTTCAGTTCAAATAATCATAACCTAATAGAGATCATGTGGCCAGAATTTTGCCAGAATATGAAGGAAATAGTTCCCAAGTCTAATAATAAGATAAATGGCATATTGCCATTATTGCACAAGCAGACAAACAAAAGTAGTTCAAAAACAGCCAAATTCTGGCCAAATTTAAGAAAAACTAACAAGGAACCATGGCATGTACAATTCGAAAAAAAAAATCAATACAGGAAGTATCAATTCATCACATAAAACTATCCTGTACAAAACAAGAGAGAGAGAGAGAGAGAGAGAGAGAGAGAGAGAGAGAGGCCTGCAGAGGAGGAGCGGCGGTGGAGGAAGGGCGGAGGTCTGGTCGGCGGCGCTGGCGGGCTGCTCGGGGGCAGGGACAGGGGAGTTGGCGCCAGAGGAAGGGGTAGGCCGGAAGGGCGGCGCGCCGCTGACAGCCCGGCCAGAAGGGGGCCGCGGGCTGGAACCCTACCCGTCACGGAGAGGTCGCTCGATTTCTCTGTTTTTTCCTCTGTTATTTCTCTGTTCGAGGAGTCGCCCGGGGACCGGATGATTTGCCCCAATTTATAAGGGGTTTGATGATTTGATCAAGATTGTTTCAATAATCAGTGGCCCCGGCCCACCTGATAGCCTCTCTGGTGGCAAATTATCAAGACGGCATTCAGTTTAGAAGATTTTCGTAGGAACATACATTCGGTTTATAGAAAATGCGTATAGGAATTTCGTAGGAATACTATTCATTTTCGGTGTTTTTAAAGAAAACTACACATCCGCTCAAAGCTCGTTTTGCGCGTAGGAACAAGGCAAGTCGATTTCTTAGGATGACAAGTGTCATCCTATCAAATTCTTATATTATTCCTAATTCATACGTTTTGATTTCCTCCTAACCGAATGAGCCCCAAATGGAGAAGTAAAGTGTGGCAAAAGATCCAACTTCTTGGAATGGCTCGGCTAGGGGAAGAAAACGAACCGGTACGTGACACGAGTCAGGAGTTTCCCTGCGCACTCCTCCTCTGGCAGTGGAGGCATTGCAGCCGATGGGACCATTCTTTGGTGAGGTCGTTATTGGAGACGACAACAGCAATGGTGGCCTCATGTCACGGGTGAGCTAGCCCCAGTCGACAACCCGGCTCTCATCTCTTTTCTTTGTTGATGATCCTCTCGTAAGTCTCATCTAGTGTGATCAGTGCAACCCGGCGAAAAGCAGGCGAGGCGACTCGGCAGATGAAGCGGCATCGGCTGACGTGCCTAGAAATAGGCACCCTTTGGCCGAAGAGACGACGACGGGCATATGGGCGTAGTGGAAGTCTGCGTAAAAAATGTCCTGGTAATACCGAAAGTGTTTAAGAGAGGTTTCGAAAGTGATTCGGATGAGAAGGAAGTGTTCCGGTCCCGAAACCCTAGAAGGCAACAGAAGGTCCGGAAAGGTTCTAGAAATCTGGAACCTTCTGGAAGGTTCAAGAAGGCCCTAGATGGCTGCCCCCTTGTTCAGCTCAAGTGGTGGCAGACACATCGAGCAGCTTAAGTGGGGTGGGTCGAGGAGGCTAGGGAATAAACATGGTGAAGATGTCGTGCTCATGTCGTGCGCAGTCACATTAAATGAGCCACGGAGTGCCGATATAGACACGAGCACACGATGCTCGTAAGCTACTCGATGAAATGTTCCACCGGAAGAAGATAGAGAGCAAGTCAATGGAAGGTGGGACCCACATGCAGATTACACGGGTGAGATTCACTCTTAGAATGAGCTTAAACGTAAATCAGTGTGTTGCACACCTGCCCCGGAATTGGTGGTTTTTGTGATTTTAGTCGAAAATGATACTCCCTCCTGAGAGAGTCCTGGACTAAGGGGTCCTCGGGCGTCCTGGCTATGTGATGTGGGCCGGACTAATGGGCCATGAAGATATGAGATTAAAGACATTTCCCCGTGTCCGGATGGGACTCTCCTTTGCATGGATGGCAAGCTTGGTGTTCGGATCATGCACCTTCCCTTCTCTGTAAACCGACTCTGTACAACCCTAGTTCCCTCCGGTGTCTATATAAACCGGAGGGTCTAGTCCGTAGGGCAATCATAATCATACAGGCTAGACATCTAGGGTTTAGCCATTACGATCTCGAGGTAGATCAACTCTTGTAACCCCTATACTCATCAAAGTCAATCAAGCAGGAAGTAGGGTATTACCTCCATTAAGAGGGCCCGAACCTGGGTAAACATCGTGTCCCCTGCCTCCTATTACCTTTGATCCTTAGATGCACAGTTCGGGACCCCCTACCCGAGATTTGCCAGTTTTGATACCGACATTGGTGCTTTCATTGAGAGTTCCACTGTGTCGTCACCAGAAGGCTCAATGGCTCCACCAATCATCCACAACAACACCACCCTGAGGGAGACTTTTCTCCGCGGCCAAATATTCGTATTCGGCGGCTTCGCACTGCGTGCCAATTCGATTGGCCATCTGGAGCAGATCGACAGCTACGCCCCTGGTCATTAGATCAGTTTCGGAAACCTAAACTATGTCGCTGATATCCGAGGAGACTTGATCTTCCAAGGGTTAGCGGCCTTAACCGCAGCTCCGGCCTTAGATCCGGAACTCCCCGTCGAGTCCGAAGACAGGAGTTTAGAGCCCGCCGGACTCTCCGCAGCCATAGAGCACAACACTAGAGATACAGAGGGGATCGTTTCACCGATAGGCCCAGAGTCACTCCAAGCTCCATCTATCATCATCGAGCCGGACTCACCCCTGTGCACTAGCTCCGAACTCTCGAGGTCTGTGTTATACGAGCTCGGCCAGGGAACTCCCGTCCCGCCCCGCTCCACGGATTCTCGCTTCCCTGTCCAAACCTCACCCTTAAACGAGGCCCTGGACTTAATGCAATCTCTCGCCATTACAGAAGGATCGCCACCGAACTATGCCCAGCCCACACCAGGGGCTGAGATCAGGGAATTTTACGTCCCACCCGCCACGCACTTCATAGCCATTGTCGACTATTTAACTGACATGCTCGATTACGCTTCCGAAGACATCGACGGCATGAACAAAGCCAGAACCCGCCATTTACTGGACGTTGGACGGCTACTTCCATGTATGACGTGTACATGGTGGACGCACCCAAAGAGGACGATGGTGATGGTGGTAAAAACCCAGTCAAGGACAAGCCCCGAGTGGCACCACCAAAGCATCGATGTCAGCGGTGCCGTTCGAAATCGCGTCGCAAAAAGGACAGTAATACCGGCGCCGAAGACAACAATACTCTGGATAACACCGAAGATCAAGAAGCCCCTATCGAACCAACATCCGAGCATGATGATTGGGAGGATGGGCAAGTCAACTCTGACGACCCTATTGGGAACGAGGGCTCGGAGGATAGTAATTACTTACCAACCTCCGAAGAGGATGAGAGCCTCGGCGACGAAGAATTCATCATGCCAGAGGAACCCCTAGAACAAGAGCGCTTTAAGCGCTGGCTAATAGCCACCGCAAGAAGCCTGAAAAAGAAGCAGAAGTAGCTTCAAGCTGATCAAGATCTGCTCAATGACAGATGGACTGATGTCATGGCAGCCGAGGAATACGGCCTCAAATGCCCAACTAAGAGTTATTGGAAGTGCAAGCTACTACCCCAATTCGACGACGAAGCCCCAAAGCCTATACCGCCAACACACAACGTCGCCGACGGACCTGACCGACCACCACGTGACCGGGACAGAGCGGCAACTCAAGCCGAACACCAGCCTACACCACCCCGCCATAAAGGCAGAGAGACAACAACTGCAGGATACACTTATGACCTACGACGGGACCTGGCCAATAGAGCCGGTCAGACCAGATCAATCTATGGATCACGGGGGCGTGCCCCGGCACGAGAGGATGGCCATCAGGCCTGGCGCGACAAGCACAACCTCACCTGGGCTGAGAACCGCATACAGACTTCATTCGAACTACGTTGTGACGTTGCCCGATATAGAGGCGCCGCACACCCCTTATGCTTCACCGATGAGGTAATGGAGCACCAATTCCCAGAAGGGTTTAAAACCGTAAACATAGAATCATACGATGGCACAACATATCCCGCAGTATGGATTGAAGATTTTCTTCTCCACATTCACATGGCTTGCCGTGACAATCTACATGCCATCAAATACCTCCCCCTCAAACTTAAGGGACCAGCTCGGCACTAGTTAAACAGCCTCCCAGAAAACTCTATTGGAAGCTAGGAAGACCTGGAGGATGCCTTTAGAGACAACTTCCAGGGCACTTACATCCGGCCTCCGGACGCCGATGACCTCAGTCACATAGTCCAGCAGCCCGGGGAGTCAGCCAGAAAATTCTGGACCCGGTTCCTAATAAAAAAGAACCAAATTGTTGATTATCCGGACGCCGAGGCTCTACCAACCTTTAAACACAGCATCCGCAACGAATGGCTTGCCTGACACCTCGGCCAAGAAAAGCTGAAGTCCATGGCAGCCCTCACATCACTCATGACCCGCTTTTGCACAGGCGAAGATAGCTGGCTTGTCCATAGCAGCAACAGTACCAGTGATCCTGGCACTTCCGAAGCAAAGAACAGAAACGGCAGGCCCCGACGCAACAAAAACAAGCGTTGGAGCAACACTGACAACGCCGAAGATACGGCGGTCAACACCGGATTCAGTGGCTCCAAACCCGGTCAGGAAGAGGCCAT